ACCCTAACCCTAACCCTAACCCTAACCCTTACCTTTATGTGAATCGGCTCGCTTTTTTAAGCGCCCTTTTTTCTCTGCGGTCGTATTTGTCGCGCTGCTGATGACGTCACGTATGCGCTTTCGTCGAGCGCGCTTTAGTCTACCGCGGTTTTGTGGTGGAACCTATGGAAAGCAGTTCCAATTAAAAAATCATGAAAGCCGTGATAAATAGATCCCAGATTTAAACGCTACAATTCTATCTTGAAATTAGCAAGGTTCATTGCTTAGTCAGGGCCAACACACAAGTGCATTGCTTAGGTCAGAACTTGAATGCTTTAACTGTATCTAACATATACCAGCAGCAATGGAGGCATCTTACCATGAGGAATGATTATCTGGAAAGGCCGACGGGGACTTTTTAGATTCCATAGAGTTAAACTGCCATCAGAATGACTGCACATGAATTGCTTCCCTTCATGATGCCATCCAATTGAGTGAATAGCCTAAACAGAATAATAAATCGCAATGAGAACCTTGAGCTCCCAGAAATAATGATATCCTCTTTCCTTTATTGTCGAGAATATATATAATGGTCATGCCTACTGAGACCGTCTCTAGAGAAATTAAATTTATGCAGAATGAATTCACCAAGGTTTAACACCAGGAACATGAAAAGTGATAAATGCTCAGGGTCTAATTAACTTACTAAGCCCCTTGAAGAGCAAGAATACATGATGAAATGGGTAGGAGAAAAAACAAGAGAAGCTTCCTAAAAGCTTCCTTCATTCTTTTGGGTTTCTAATTAAATGTGAATACCTTCACCATCCTCTTCCTTATGTTAATGTGATACTTACTCTGATTCTAAGTGGGAAATCAGGGAACAATGGCTTTAAGTAACAGGAAGTTACTAAAAGCCTGGAAGAAAAAATCTAATAGTAAGACCAATTTGATAAAGGAACCAATTTCTCCTTCACTGTTCAAGCAAAAGCTTGATAGCTACCAGTGATAAATTAGATTCTTGTACTCAGTCAACCATCTACAGCCCCTTCATCTTTATTAGTTAGATTAACCAGTGAATTCTAACCTTTTCTCTTAAAACTAAATCCCACTGAGCTCAGCTGCAATTAAATATATAAAAAGAAATTTTTAGACACTAGTTCTTTGCATAACTGTTCAATATTTAGTTCTATTCTGCCAAGTGCAGAGAGCAGAGCAGCAGATTTGGTATTTGTGATTAAGGTTAAAGCTTAAAAATCTTTTAAATCACTCAGTCACTCGTGCCCTTGTGACCTCTAGGCTGGAATACTGCAACGTGCTCTACATGGGGCTGCCCTTGAGGAGCATCCAGCGACTTCAGCTAGTCCAGAATGCAGCCGCGCAAGCGATCGTGGGTGCACCTCGGTACCCCCACATAACACCTATCCTCCACGAGCTTCGCTGGCTACCTGTCGATCTCCGGGTGCGCTTCAAGGTGCTACTTACCACCCATAAAGCCCTTCATGGTGGTGGATCTGGA